TCACAAATCTTTCACTGCATCTCTACAAATAAATTTCAAAAGTTAGACAAAGGTTCATAATCACAAAGTCCCTTTTTTTAATCTCAATCTTGGGATAAAAAATATTTTTATCAGAAAGAGGCATCAAAAGATGACAATGGAGAAATGTTTAAAGAGCTCATGGCCTTTTTTGGGAATGCAAGAGCAAGAAAAGGAAATGTCATAAGGAGACACTAAATTCAATAAACAGAAGTCACCCCAATTTTTTCAAATCCCAGGCTAGCAATGTTTCATAAAATGTGGTCACTCATGGACCTGAAGTCTCTCTGTGATCCACTGGCCTAACTCTGTAACCTACACTTCAACACGAGAAGGGGAACAGAAAACCAGATGACAAAACCACACACACTCAAACGAAACCCTGTTCTGGGAAGTAACCCTGCACAAGCACCAGAGGGGTTTTCTGCTAACTCCTTGCAGTGCCTGTTTCTCCTCCATCACCAAGCCTCCAGCACTGCCAGGGAACATGGCAGCACAGTGGGGTGACTCTGCAGCATCTGCTCCACAACCACCAGAAGATGCCACATGCACAGAATACCCTCCAACCACCACAACTGTGCTGCAGGTTAGTTTTTTTACATGGTTTCCTGTTGTTTCCAGYCCTGCAAGGCTCACATCCTCTCTACAGAGAGCAGCCTGGCTGAAATGTAGTGATGGGTGCTAGAAGATGTATTTTTTCTGACAGCAGTGTTATAGTGTGCACAAGTGGACTCCATGTCCAAATCCAAGCACAAATCCAGTTCAGGTCTGTCTGGGGTCTCAATCCTTCCTGAAGCAGAACCAAGCTCACCCAAGGAGCTTTTCCAATGGGAAAATCCATCAAAGCAAGGAATCCATCAAAGTTTTCATGAACAGGCAAGTCTGGGGCAGCTCAAGAAAGAAACACCTCCTCAGTTTCTATCTTAGGCATGTTAGCAATTTCATCAGATACAGGACAGATCTGTCAACATTTGACACTGCTCTAACAAACTACAATTAGCAAAACACACTGAAAAAAATGGAAAGCCATTCTAATTATCCACAAGTATAAAAAGCCAATATTACTGGGCAGTCACCTAAATCTTCAAATATTTTTATTACTCTGTGAAACTAATAAATTCTATTATTTTAGATTACATTTCCTCATGGTTTTCAGCAGTAGAGAGAGAATAATATTGAGAAATAGTCCCATGTAATACACACAGAGAAAAATCCATTTCAAGATCTCTTCCAAGCACTACTAGAGGAGAAAATCCCACCTACGCTTTTGTTAGAGTCAGAAAACTGGAAATATATAGACGAAGTATCAGGCCACTGACTTGTACAATTACTTAAACAAGTTTTTGTCTATAAATATTGATCAAAGTTGCTATTGACAACACAATTGTAACATTAAAAAAAAACCCATTAGTCCAATGTGCTTATTTTTCCACACCAAGGAGAGGTTTTACTTTGTAATGACATGTRTCAGTGTAAGCTCACTCTTGAAATTCACCATAGATTACATGCTCCATGACCTATGTTTCAATTACAACTAGAYAAAAACCCAAGGAGTTTTGTTTGTTTGAGCAGTGTTTTTTAAAATACATATCTAAATCAATTAAATTTAAATAATTCACTTTGTGATAGTCCTCTTCTTACAGCTTACAAATAATCTTTGTCCTGAATTGAAGCAGCAATTCAGACAACTGCAGTCTGAAGTTCCTTCTTATGTACAAATACTGCAAGTCTTCTATATCTGGACCCCAATGTAGCCCAAATATCATGGCCTGAGTCATGTTTTATGTCAAATGATACTGGTATAACACTGACTCAACCAACCAAATGTGTGTGTTCATATCATAAAACTACTTCATAAAAGGTCCACTCTGTTTCATTTATGCAGGATGCTCTGCTGAAGGCATGAAACTAAATTATCTGATAAAATTAACTGCTCAGAAAAGCAGAATTCATGTGTTCAATGATCATCTTGCCTGGGATATTTTTACAGGGCATTCCTCCACTCAGTGCTCAATTCAATGTTAAGCTGCTTATACAGATACTAAACAGAATACATGATTCATTTGTGCATCTTTATTCTTTTAAAATACCTAATAAAGACAAGGCATGGGTCAATTTGCCCCTGTGGAATCACACCAATTGACCCTTATAAATCTTTTAATTCCTCCAATGAATCCCATTCCTAGAGACAGGAATAATATTGGCAAATTATCTAGTTCCAGATATATTTCATTAATATCAAGTGACATATTTCCCTTAGTTGTGGACTTCTATTATGTAAGATGGATGGACAGCAAAACCTCTGCCACCCACAGATKTTTTTCTAGATGTATTGTCTTCGCCATAAGAAAAATTCCCCTTGGAATTTGTTACTATGACGATGTATTGCTCTGGAGATCTGACTATGGTAGCATGGATTTACATTTTCTACCCTTACTGAAGTCTTKGTACACATGAGAAAGCAATCACTTACACATGGGATTACTGTTTTTTTCCAAATGCATAGGGAATGTTCAACTCGTTTAGAATATATTGGAAATATATTCAGAAAATTACCATGTAACTGCCAATCCAGAATTAATTCAAAAGTCACTGATAGCTTAGACCAGCTTCACGCTGATGTTTCCCCAGTCATTAGTAGCAGAATGAATAAATATTTTAGAATACTATGGGGAGATTAAGTTTTATTTAACAGTGGAAATGCTGAAAGATTGCCAACTAAGAGTAAGAGTAAGACCACAATTTCTTCATATAAAACCTGGCCTCTGTTTGGGTCTGTATTTGCAAGGCATTTGCTCTGAAACCACACAAACTCTTTGTTTTGTGATGCAGTCATTACAAGGAAGACTCCAAAGCACTTGGCAGCACAAGCAGTGTAGCAGCAGCACAGACATGCCATGGGTTCCAAAGAGAGAAAGTTTCCCTTTCACTTTTGGGGCTCACTTGTGGATGTTTTGCTAGATTCCTCCTCTCTCACTCTGCTACACTGGGCAGTGGTGTAGTGATTCAAACCCCTTTCTTAAACCCCATGCTGCCTGCACAACATCTGGCTGGCATCTGCCAGTACACTTCTCCCACTCATGAGAACAAGCTGTGAGGCTCTAGACACCCATCCCACTGGAAGAGGGCAGCACAACTTCTGCCCAAGGTCTGTGACTCGGCACAGATCCAGATCCTTTGCACACACAGCAAGGACAGAGCAGCAGGAGGCACATGGCTGAGCAGGATGAGAATGGAAGCAGWGGGCACATGGGTGTGCAGGATGAGGAAGGCAAACAGCGGGCATATGGCTGTGCAGGACACAGGGTAGCTACCCCATTGTGGGCTCCCTGACTCCCAAACAGGATGTATCTAAGGGCTCATCCTTGCARGGACTGCCCACAGCACTGCTGCTGCATTGCTTCCTTCATTCTAGCCTAGAAAAGCTGTCCCTGTCCTTGCTCCTGCCAGCAACATCTGCCATCAAACTGCACAGCAGTTCTCCCAAACCTGACCCACTGAGTCAACAGTCACTTCAGCTGTWAAAAAACACAAGATCCTCTGGCTTTCAACTGCATGTGTATGCTGGATTTTTTTTGTTTGTGGGGATTAGAAGGGATAAAAATCCCTCAATTTCTATGTCAGATGTGCATTACACTTCYACTCGATGTGAGAATTTATCAATAAATCTGTATGAGTATAATTAAAATACTCTTAAAAAGAGCAGCAGTAACAATAAAGCAAGGGCCAGGAAACRTGCTTTGTTCAAATGCACAAATCACAGCTTTAATCCATTATTATCTAGATTATTTATCTGTCCTTCTGCAGAGCACAGTAGTGTGGCTACTTCCACAGGTGGTACTAGAGACAGCGTTTGTCCAGCACCCCTCGGGACCCCGCAGCCCCGCCACCCCCGGGTGCAGAGCAGGGGAATCCCCGGCCGCCAGCGGGGATCCCGCGACACAGCAGCGGGCCCGGGTCCCCACAGCCAGCACCGTGCCGGGATCACCRTTACCGCGGCAACGGCGCGGCCGAGCCCCGCGGCCCCGTGACGCGGCAGCTCCGGCCCGGCCCGGCCCGGCCCGCGCGTTGCCGGGGAGACGCCCGGTCGCCACGGCGACCATCACCGCTGCCCTCCCGGCCCCGCTGCCCTCCCTGGCCGCCAGCCTCAACGCTAACGCGTAAAAATAATGAAAAACACCTCAGCCGCCAAGAGAGCCTCAGCATCACCGCTCGTCCCGGTGCTGCTGCGGGCCCTGCTGGGGGTAGCTCCCCACACCTTCCCCATCCTGGGGCAGATGGGCCAGCGCGGGACGTGAGCCGCATTCCCGGCCCTTATTAACATCGAGGGAAAAGCAGCTCTGCCAAAGCTCAGCRCCTGCTTTGTGGATGGCAGCCATAGGTCATATCTCTTTGCTAGCACTGGTCTTAAGTGAAGGCCAGATCAAAAAATGCAAAACAAATGGAAAAACTGCACCCCACGTCTGTTTCACTGAAGCAAAAGGAGAAAATCCAGGCTAACTCTTAAGGGCCACCACTGGTGCCCATCACAAGGGCTGGTCAAGCCACCTGGGTACCTGCTCACCTGGACATCTCATAGCTGCACGGGCAGCCAGCCCCACAGCTCTCCCAGGAAAAGAATGAGCCCATCTCCTCTGAGTGAGTGCACTGTGCCTTCACCAAATGGGGTAAGTGGGCACTTCAGAGCTCTCCTTTTGCTTATCTGCATTTTAATTTCAGGCGATCTTCTGCCAAGGAGCTCTGTGGCTGGGATGGAAAGACTGCAGGCTCTGCTGGGGAAACTTGCTGATGCCAGCAGGAGCATGGGCAGGTAAAAAGYCCTGGACACACCAAACAAGGCCAGGCCACTGCCAGCGCTCCCAAGCTTTYTGAATGTGCACATTCCAAACTATATTGCTTCATTACATTTAGAGTCTTACCCAAGAATCATATGCAACACTGCATGAAAACATTTAGAGTTGTAAAATGCATCTAATTCTTACCTTTGATATGCCTGAGGAGAGTTGGGAGGTGTATTGAACACATGCGAATATGGGTGATAGGGTGTCTTTTTCAAAGCCTGAATAAGATTTTGTCTATATTCTGGGTCTATACACCACAAGGACCCCTTTCCAATACTCTGCAAAGAGAAAAGAATTAAAAAAAATCAAATATTTGATCTAATGGCACAGCCTTATTTATTTAGCGATTTTTGTCAGGAAAAGCAGTGGGTTTGAGTTTTTTTCTGACATAAGTGAACATAATTTACTTGCCAGAGATTATTGCTCCATTAATAATGTATTACAACTGTATGATTTAAATTCTGAGGGAAAAAATGTAAGAATGAATGTTTGGTTGCTCTTTTCCCCCCTCTCTCTTGTTACTACTTAATATGATTAAATAGTATCTGACAATTTTTTATCATCCCATATTGGATAAATAAGAAGCTACAGTTAACTTGTTAAACGGAAACTTTGAAAGAAAGCATCTTCCTTTTAGAAGTGGTTTTCTTTTTCTTTTGCTGTTATACAAACAGAAACAAGGCTAAAAAGGAGGGGGTTAAATACCCTAGCAACTGTTTTAAAAATAAGAGGAYTTAATCCTTCAAACCCACATGACATCAATGCCATTATACTACAAGAGGAAATTAATCATCTTTTCTCCCCAGAGGAGAAAAAAATACCCGAAAAACCCCAAACCAACCAACCAAAACCAAAATAAAAGGCCACAGTATAATCAGAGTATAACCATTTAAGGGTGTTATGAAATTGTGATCAGCTAAAACAACAGTTACTGTAATTACCCTTTCTGGACACAAGGAGCAACACAAGCAGTCAATCTGTAAGGCAAAGATTACTCTAAAATTCAGTGTTTATTCTGCAGTTCCAAGCAATGCAATTTCATTTCTTGTCCCAATCCCATCAGAGGTCAGGCTGAGGATATTTTGAATTGTTTTGTGTGAGTTCTCAAACAAACATTAAAACTTGGCCTCAGCTTCACTGTGAAGGCATATGGAATGATAAGCTCAGGAGCAGTCTTGCCCTACTTGAACACACATAACAACAAACAACAATCCTAATTACTGACTGAACTCCACTGGCAGGGTTTCAAGGCATTATGGTAAGATTTTTTGGTAAATGTTGATGCTTTCTGGAACAGGTCAGGAAGGCTGCCTCTAGGTGTTTTTCATCCCAGGGCCATCCCTTCTCCCACCAGTGAAACAAGGCTCTCAGTTAACGTGTTAAAAATCAAACACACAGAATCACATTGGAAGAGGGCTATTATTTTCTTAAACCATATTGAAGACCAAAAAAACTAGACACTTGTTTGCTTTCAAAGACTTGTTGTCTTTGCCCTATCGCCTCCTAAGTGCTCCTCTGCCTCATAGAAAGCTTTAGGACACACAGTGCAACATGCAAAGTGCTTATTGAGAGCAAATCTGCACTAAATTCTTCTCCCCAAAAATAAAAGGAAAGTCTTCCCCGATGTCATTGGATGGCTGTGCATGCATCTAGAAAGTTCCCAGCAACACACGAGACTTGGCTTGAAAGAAAAGGAGAGCAGCCAGCACAGCCCATAGGAGCTGTGACAGTTTTCTGTCAGGAAGGAACATGGCTGCCGGGGTGATGAAGAAGGAATCATCTTCTGTATGCTGCTCTGGTRGAACACGAGCATGGGGTCAAGACTCTTCAGGGTGGCAGGGCTCAAGCCCATCTGTCTTTTTACTTCCCAAAGTTGTCCTAGGAGGCCACAGTAGAGTCTGAGGGGAGACATCTTCAGGCTCTTGRAGTAAAGCAAGGCCCTGATACAGCCAAAAAAAGCCCAGGACTCAAGCGGCCAGAGAGAGCAAGCAAGACTCTTGGGTTCTCATCTCAGTGAAGCACTGCAGCTAACAACTCAAAGATCCAGTACTGGTGTCAGTTGTGGAAGCTGTGCACCACACACCTCAAACCAGTTAGCAAAAAGTGGGTTGTTAGGCTTAGCCCTCTTAAATATGGGACTATATTAAATGAGGCAGACACACGACATGGTAAGTCCAGTAAGTGATTTTTAGGCAAAGGACAGAGCCAAAAATAGAATCCAAACCTCCCAAATTCCACATCCATCCTTCATCCAAGACCTAGATTAAGAACATAAAATTTCCTTTTAAGCAAGCAATGAGCAAAAYTAGGAACATTTTTCAGGAGAAAACCCTTGCTGGATTCCTTACTTCTTACAGCATGGGATAAGCTTATAAAAAAAGCTGCACTTACATACCATCTACCTTATTTGTACTTACTGGAACACAACATATTGTTTTCAAACTTCTCTCTTTTTTTCATTTACTTCCAAGACAGACTTTTCAGCTACCTGGAAGAGATTACCCCCTAAAATCCATCAGCTACTTTAAGCTGAGGGCCTACAATATGAAGCCTTACAATATGAAGGCCTTACACTACTGAAGAGTAACTTCAAAACGTTTCATTAYTATTAAGATAAATTTGTTTGGCTTGCCCATATTCTTGCAAAAGCCAAAAATAATTTCACTGAAAAACAGGAACTCTCTCTCACAAAAAATATTGAGAAGTAAACTCCTTGTTAAAAAAACACTGGGAAGGCAGACTTGCTGTATTTTCACTGCAACAGAGCTGACTTACAATTTTACCAGCAAAAACAAATGTAATTTAAGGCAAAGCTTGCCAACTTTGCAAACTTCTCTTTTAAGACAGTTATTTTTGGTTTTCCACGATCATGTAACAGAGTAGGAATAAAAAAGAAAACTGAAGTGTCATCTGGTTAAGAATCCTTCTTGTCTGTTGGGAGGTGTGAAGAGCTTCCTTAACTGTCTGCTCAGATGTGTCATTAGCCTTCCCATATACAGAGCAATCACAGGAAAGGAAATCACTGGAGCCATTGGTTAGTGATTAATTTCCATCTTATGACATTTGGCGTGCTGCTTCGCTACCTCCTCCAAGCCAAAAGTCAATAGTGACTCCAATCAAAAACCAGCAAGGAAGGGTCAAAAAAAAAAAAAAATCCCTGGATTACATGTGTCTCCCAGGCAACAAGTGACTGAGGAGTGGATAACAGCCCCCTGATCATCCCAGCACTTGGAGTGCTTTCCACATGCCACCTCCTCCCTGGCACAGCTACCTCCCTCCTGCCAAACACAGGTTGCAGCTTCTGCATTGATTCCTGGCTAAGGTGATTAAAAAATGGGGAATGTCACTACCAGTCCTCTTCATGTGGACCAAGAGTAAACTACAGTTCAGGGTAACCTATTTCAGAGGTGCTAATGGGGAGAAACATATAGAGTAACCCCATAAAAGTTTATTACTGAATAATTAATTTGAAAAAAAAAATCCTGATTATCTTTTATATTGAGAAATTGCTACTCCTTTTTACGTCACTTAATATATATGTAGATTGGGCCACAATATTGTGTACTAATTCCCAATTTATTMATAAATTTTCTCTTTCTCGTATCTCAAATACGCAATCCTGATTCCCTTCCAGCCACTAAAAGTAGAGCCTTGCCTGACCAGGTACATGATACACTCAATGTTCAGGTTTTTTTCTTCCAATGGACTACATATAAAAGTTTTTAAATACTACTTTACACAAGTTATTAATATCTAAAGACAAACGCTTGGTCATTTTTAGTAGAATTGAAAAAAAGACTGAAATTTTAAAATAAATGCTTCTTGTCAGCTCTTTCAGTTGTTATAGTTGGGAATGAAAAGCATTATCCACCAGCAAAACTCCTCATTATAAAGATTTTGTCTACCTATATCTTGCAACTAACTGCCTGGCCTTACATATCACCTATCATCTGCCCAAAGTTCAATTAAAAGAATTGTGTGCTGAGCTCTTTCCAAGATCAGTGGCTGGGAAAAAACACAGAATGCATTGCACTAAGTTTGCATGGCCAGGTTTTGGTACTGAGGGGGCTACAGGGGGATCTAATACATCCATCTATAAAAAAATTTCAGATAATGTTTATTTGAGGAATTTTTTTCCCTGCTTATTTTAGCACAGACTTGAAAGGTGTTGGGAATGCAACCTTTTTCACAGAGTTGCTCTTTTCACTGCCATAAAAACAGGCCTGGCCAAAACAAAGCTTTGGGAGAAGTGTGGACACAAAATCCACAAAATGTGAGCTCAGAAAGATATTGGCATTTCCAGATTTCTCTTTCTGAAGCTCTGGTAACACGTTCACTTTGAATCTGCACCAGGCAGGAGTAGCTCCAGGCACCCACATCTCTCRCAGCAGTATCACCACCAAGATAGTCCCCAAGGGAACAGACCCCTAAGGGAAATCTGCCAAAAAGGGAGATTTTTTCCTCCCTGATGTCTTGCATGTGCCTGATCCTTCTTCCACAAGCTCATTGCAGTAACATTCCTCAAAGAAAACTGTTTTTCTCACACAATTTGATGCAATTTACAGTCATTAAGCTGGCTCACATGAAGGGTCTGATGAATATCCAGAGAGCTGTGACAGAGCAGGGAATGGATGTGGGGAGCCAGGGAGGGGAATGGGAGCTCCTTTCTTCTGCAGCAGGAGCCTTGCTGACATTCTTATGCACCTCTTCAAACAGCACACTGGAAAAGGAAAACCAGGACTGCCTGGACACAAAGCAGCTTGTAAGACAAATGGCAAAACCAGTATGACACAGAGCAGGGGTAGAGGGGAGAGCTGGGATGAGCTGGTGTACAGGGTCTGATGGTCAACCCACAACAGCTGGGCAGCAAGGCTGGCAGACAGCCCTAAGGAAAAGGCCAGGCCGTGCATGTGAGACCAGAGACACCAAGATGCTGGGCACCAACACGGGTAGGTGTGGAGACTGAGAGGGGAAAACCAAAACAAGACACCAGTGAGTGACTCCACAGCTCCACTCAGGCACTTAAGCTATGCCAGCAGGCTGAGAATTATTAAACAGTTCTGATTTAAGGACTTTGCTACTCCAAACAACAGCTGCCCACTGAGTTGATCTGTATTTTACTTCTTCACTATCAAATAAGGAGGCGATGAGTGGCCACTAGGCTCTCCAGAACCAAAATGATGAGCAATATGAAATCAGGCAGCTACACAGACTGAAGGGGTGCAGATGTACACAATCTGAGAAATATGTCATGTTGGCTTCAGTAACCACAAAAGCA